ATGTGGGCCCACACTCCTTTAGCTATAGAAAAACTAAGTCTAGAAAAAATATTCGCGGCCGCCCGAGCCCCTGCATCTTGAGACATGGAAATTTTTTGGATCCTCTTGAGCAAAGCCACGACATCTGTATCCAACTCTCTCAGCGAAGAAAAAGAAAAGGGCAGGAAACCGTAACCAGCCGCCATACACAAGTCTCGGTACTTGGCACACTTTCGTTGAGCAGCATCAGCAACAACTCGGCCAGGCACAAAACCAGTCATCCCAGTCTGAGTCATAGGTGAAGATCCAGTCAAATCTACACACATCTCGCCCCCTGTCCCATGAATAAAGCAGCACATCCGTAGGACGAAGGGGTCCGCCATGTCCATCAACAAAACCGATATCAACCTCCCTACCTGCAGAAATCCCAGACCTGTAACAAATGTCCAATAAGGTGTCACAAACGAGATTGTGCTGATGCTTAATGACCACAAAACCAGCACAGGACACAAAATGATCCCCAAAGACATCACCAGGAAAGACACGGGAACAAGTAGGATAGGGCTTAGATACCGAAAACAACGAGACCCCCAGTCGATAGCTAAGCACACTATGATATGTCCTCTTATTCATAGTCTGGCCCAACCCAGCAATAGGAACAACACGCAACCAATCAGAAGAGTGTGCACTCTGCTGAGCCTTCCACAAAGCCACCCGACGCGTAGTCAACGAGAAAACAAAATCTGAAGTATTAACAACCTTCGCGAAATATATATCTGCCAATTTCTTCATAAGTTTTGGGGCAGCAACTCCACTAGAGTCATGTAAGAGATCAGAACCTGTAAACTCGTTAAAGGTGCGTAGGGCGTCATCAAAAGCAGGGCCAAAAGATAGAATACCAGAAGGACTTAGGAGTTTAGCTTGCAACTCCGCAGACTGCAAATGAGATGCCAAAAAAGCATAATGCAAGACATCTCCAACAGCATAAACCCCAAGCCTGCCCAAATAAAATGGGAAGGTGGCAAGCGTCCATTGCCAATTACCAAATCTGGGTCCAGAAGCAGTGACAATACATTCTAAACTAGACCAAATTGTTGTGTCAAAAGATAGCTGGGCCGGCCCAAAAATACAAGGGGAGCAAGTACGTAAAGCAAAGTAGAGTTTAGAAATATCAGTACATGCCCGAAGCAAAAGCAACTCACACTGTGGGTCATCAATCCTAGCAACCAAGTCAACCAGCTCAATGGTCTTAGTAACTCTCTTCGCCACAAGCTCACTGCTAAAATGAGGACAAGAACTAACAGGACCACCCAGAACGGTGACACCGTGTGGAGGCCGAGCGATAGAGGCAGTGAAAACACCTGGAAGCCGACTCCTAGGATCCTTAGTAGGCCAAAAAACCTCTGTCTTACCCACATTTAGGTGAAGGCCAACTCGAGGGCCTTCATCCATAATCATGTCCAAGACCTTCCCAACAACCAAAGTGTCCCCCACAACAGTGTCATCATCCAAATAACAAGTCTGCATACTCAAATCAAAAGAGTCTCTGATCTTGCACACTAAAGGATGCAACACCAAAGCAAAAAGTAAAGGGCCCAAAGGGTCTCCCTGTTGAACCCCCTGGCAAGACCATAATCTATGCATCCCATAATACAGACGGGCAGGGCTAGAGTAACAGAACTCTACCCATCGGGACAGGACCGGAAAATGACGACGAACTTCCTGAAGCATGGCCCCACGATGAACTAAATTGAAAGCATTTTGGAAATCGACCAACAACATAGAAAGACCTACATCACCACCGCGGGCCTCAACGAACCGGTTCAAGGCATGCAAAATAGCCTCTCCTCCACCAGAAACCCCGGCCCCAAACTGAAGACCAGCAAGATAACCAGATAAAGTAGGGCCAACAAGACAAGCACCAACCTTAGAAACAAGACGTATCCAAACAGTGCCAACAACTATAGGATGGATACTACCCCCTGGTTTAACAAGTGGCATGAGCGGAGCGCTAGCAATGTACTCACCAAGGGGCTACGAAATCGACCCTCAAGGAAAAGATTAACCACTCGAGTAATAGAGGCTACCTCATCTAAAGTCTGTCGCAAAAGCTGCAAACTGCCACCAGACCCCCAAGCAATAATAGCACTGGTAACATTCTCCTCTGGACGAAGGCTCCTAACAGCGGACCGACGCTCAAGATTACTCCGCGGAGAAAAGGTCTTAAGCACGCAGAGAGGCAACACAAGTAAGTGAATCCAGTAGGAGAGGTCGCCCGGAGAAACACCCACATCATCCAAAGCCCCTTTTAGAACCCTCGCAAACCCAAGGCGACACTTAGGAGGGATAGATTTCACAGTGCGAAGACCCATAGAGGACAAGCGATCAAGCAAACTGATAGACCAACCCACAGTCTCAACCCTAGCATCAGATGAGTTAACCGGCAAAGACGGATCCAGAGGTCTGGGAATATCATAAATAATAAAACGAAGAAGGCCGTCACCACAATCTGGAGGCTCCACAAAAACATTCTCATCATGCCGACATTTAGAACGGAAGGCGCGAGTACGAAGACATACCCCGCAAATCCAAACCCCCATCCGCTTGAGAGTAGTTTCAGCATTAGAAAACACCATCAAACTATCATAAAGAGTTTGACCTGTAAGAGCCATAGCTTCACCGCGACAATGCCAATCTTTAAAGTGTTGGAGCAAGGAGGATTTAGTAAGACCCTTACCTCGACCATCCTAATATGTTGCCTAATGAAAATAACTTCTATAATAAATTATAAGAAGAACTCACTTTGAAATTGAATAAGTATTAGAACGTTGAATGATTGTTTTGTAGGATACATTGAAAATGACATCATGAATAGTTTGAATAATAACTGTATTTTATAAAATTTTCCCATATGATATTATGCCATAGATGATAAAACTTGATGATACAAATCAACTAATAATACATTTTCTTTTAAAATTTTGGACCCACCTTACCATAAATTATGACTCGGCAGCTAGATTTAACCATAATCACTTGACCCTACTTTGGGTAGACCAACTCAGGGGCGGATACATAGTGCTTTAATGATGTCACGAGACACTCATAATTTTTCGGAGAACGATTATTCAACCCTTTGTAGTAGTTTCGTATGGATAAAAAGAAATATAATTGATAATCTGGAACACCCCTAAAATTTGAAAAAACGATTATCCTACCCTCGGTAGTAGTTTGCGTATGATTAAAAGTGGTAGTCTATGTTATTCAAACCTAGGACACTACTATTATTAAACACATTCTCCATTAGGTTGCAATCCATTTGTTGTTTTATTTTAAACACTATAGTAAAAACACTATTCCGTATCTCCAACTATTTTCAAAACCTAACAATTAAACTAATTACGAGCTACCCTTAACTTAATTGATTTTATAGTTACACGAAAAGTGTTGTAAGGGTATTTTCAACTTTGAGTTACATCAAGAACAAGGTTAGAAGTCGAATAGGCATTTATTATTAAATTTAATTTTCAAGGAGGAGACTACTATAAAAAAATTCTGAATACGCCACTGGACCTACTGACAAAAGCATTTGATGATATCGAAAATGGAGAGAAGTTCTTCCATGGAATTTCATCATTCTACATTTAAATTTTATCAGATGCCTCAAAAGGATAAGTACATCTATATGGAAACAAACAATCATATATAGAGAGAGTTTTATTTTTGAAAAACATAAAATACTGATGTTGATTTTTCCAAAAATAGAAACACACTGATGTAGAGTTTTAAGATTTTCGAGAACTTAGTTTCATTTGTATCAATAAATTTTAACATCAAATATCATAATGATGATGATATAAAATTCAAAGATGACTCATTTCTACATAATAATTCATGATATGTCATGTCAAATATTCTTGACAAATAACAGTATTAAAATGCTTAGGATTGTTGATATGTCATGTCAACAATCAATATTCCGTTGGTTGGGATTTGAACATAACTAATAACCAATAAAAAATCTCGATACCATTTCATCGAACCCTTAAATGTTTAAAAAGATTATGATTTCATGTCGTTAACGAATTGCTCTCAGCAACACAAGTTATTATAAATAGCATGGCAATAAATTCTATGTTAGTCGTTTATGTGATAGCAGCTCAAAAGGAAGTCTATGTGGAGTGTTTCATGAGTTCTCACTTCTCACAATTAGTTATCATACATCATTTGTAATTAGTTTTAAAAACGTTTTAACTTTTTTTGTTCATCAATAATATTAATCTATATCACCATTATAAAAAAATATTGTTACCTTATATGATTAGATGTTATATGAAAATTGAAAGCGATAACGTACGTAACTCACTTACTAGATTGACCCAACAATGAATTACCTAAAAAAACCCATCATATTCCATTGTAATATATTGACAAATAACTATATAGAAAATTCTTAGAATTTTGGTTTGTATGATGATATGCAAAGATGACTCATTTCTATATAATAATTCATGATATGTCATGTCAAATAAAAAAAAGTTGTTGCCTTATATGATTAGATGTTATATGAAAATTGAAAGCGATAACGTATGTAACTCACTTACTAGATTGACCCAACAATGAATTACCTAAAAAAAAAACCCATCATATTCCATTTTAATATATTGACAAATAACTATATTACAATTCTTAGAATTTTGGTTTGTATGATGATATGCAAAGATGAATCATTTCTACGTAATAATTCATGATAGGCCATGTCAAATATTCTTGACAAATAACAACATTAAAATGCTTAGGATTGTTGACATTTATGAAGATATAGTTTTTAATATTTTGTATCAACAATCAATATTCCGTTGGTTGGGATTTGAACATAACTAATAACCAATAAAAAATCTCGATACCATTTCATCGAACCCTTAAATGTTTAAAAAGATTATGATTTCATGTCGATAACGAATTGCTCTCAGTAACACAAGTTATTATAAATAGAATGGCAATAAATTCTATGCTAGTCGTTTATGTGATAGCAGCTCAAAAGGAAGTCTATGTGGAGTGTCTCAGGAGTTCTCACTTCTCACAATTAGTTATCATACATCATTTGTAATTAGTTGTAAACATGTTTTAACTTTTTTTGTTCATCAATAATATTAATCTATATCACCATTATAAAAAAATGTTGTTACCTTATATGATTAGATGTTATATGAAAATTGAAAGCAATAACGTACGTAACTCACTTACTAGATTGACCCAACAATGAATTACCTAAAAAAACCCATCATATTCCATTGTAATATATTGACAAATAACTACATTACAATTCTTAGAATTTTGGTTTGTATGATGATATGCGAAAAAAAAAAAAGGCAATTCAATCAATAAAAAACTATCATTATTCTCAAGGTCTCCGTAGCCTTGCTTTGCTTATATAAATCACCATATGCACTTCTTGATCAATACCACAACAGGCAACGTAAGCACCACATAACACACTACTGATCTTGTTCTGGTCGAATACTTGGAAATTAATTAAAAATTATGAATTCCAACAAAGCTATGTTCCTTAGCCTTCTTCTTCTGTTTGCGTTGGCCTTCGTGGCTCGCTCATCGGCGACTTTCCCAGCTGTCCCCCGCTCCGATCTCGGTAAGTAAACACAAATCAAAATCGTTGGGGTTCACTCGTTAGATTAGAAGTAGGGTATATTGTCATAAACCAGTTGGTACCAATAAATTGAGTTGTTGGAAGAAGGTTATGCAAAATCTTATACCGGCTGTGTATGATACTTAACTACTTCCTTACCAATAAATCGAGTTGTTGAGAGAAGGTTATGTAAGATCTTATAGATTACAAATTCGATTAATTCTTGTTCCATTTTCTGCATGTGTATATTGATTGTTGGGGTTATATTTTCATTCTAAAACGCCTAAGCAAAAAGCCATTGAATTAGTTATGATGATTACAGAGAATAATCTTATAAAGAATACGGAAATTGAATAGCTTGCGGATAATTTAATCACAAACTATGTTACGATGATATGAACTAGCTATATGTCTTGGCCATGGATTAATGAACTTTGAGTTTCGATGTTGATCGACCAATAAGATTGCGGTTGTTTGTAATTAATTACTATTTATTTATATATTTTATTTTATTAATATTTGTGATAATATTTTTTAATTTTGATTAATTTATTTTATAATGATATAATTTACTTACTTTCACCTTATTTGCATCCTATTTTTTCATCATGAATAATCATTTTCACTCCATTATACTCCTACCAATTTACACCCTCCTCAAATTTGCAAAAACACAGCGTCAACGTTTTTTGTATGGTATACCTCTCATTTTCTTTTTTATATATACACGTTCATGAAATATAAATGTATATGGTTATAAATTAAACACGCAGAGATAGAAGGCGAAGAGGGCGGGGCGACCACTCAGCCGGCGTCTACTTGCCATGAAGCTGTCAACAAAATCACCTGCCTTTCGGGTTATTGCTGTAATTGTAAGTTCCTTGGGGGATGCGCCCGCTGCTGCAGCATATTCTAGAAAATCTGCAGGTAAAACGGCAAGAACAAGAACATCGTATCATCCCATATGAACAATCAAGCTCTGTTTCTATCTTCCAGTCCTAAATATGTAATTTCCATTTTCAAATAATGGGTTGCAACCTTCTTCTGTTAATGTCTGTCTTCTGAAACTATGATTATGTATGTCCATTAAAAAAATTATCCCCTACTATGTTACACACTCATATGTTTGAGTTTTAAATTTACTGCGGCTGTTAATGTTCTTTATTAAAAAAAAGTTTGTGTTGGTTCACTTTCGTCATTTCATTGCTTGCAGACCTTGAGTTATGGGATTCTACAACTTGACAAGGATGTTATTACGAATTTTCAAATAACTCGAGTTGTTGATAAAATGGATGTTAATAAAGCAATTTACAGAGGCGAAGCTATAATTTTATTTTCGAGGGCTAAAAATTAGAAGGTGTTACATACTCTTTTACATCAATAAATCGTTTCAGTATTCATAACAAAGCTATCTTTGTAATTCTTATAAAAAATATATGACCAAAATAAAAGTTTATAAAATACGGTGATAAAAATTATGATTGGGGATGGGAATATATATATATATCTTCTATTTCTCTCTGAACGACTTTTCGAGATCCAATTTTCACTATGGCGCCCATTGCTAACGGAGTCTCGTCGGGTGTTGTTGGTGATAGTCGATCCTGGGCTTCGCTTTTTGGATCTTCAGAAGATAACCAGTTGCATTATTATGTGTCGAAGCTTATCAACAGATTGGTGAGAATTCCCTAATTTGTGATGGAGGAGGGTACTCAGAGAATGAAAAATAGTTTGGTGGGGCAATTCTTGGGCTCTCCATCATCTCTCGCAACGATTAGGTTGTTGGAAAATTTGCTCTAGGGATGGGATGGAGAGATAAGGGTGTCCTGGTTTGAAGATCGCCTAGTTTAATTTCAATACCATTTTGAGGCAGTGTGCAGATGACTCGCTATGACACAACTCCTAACAATGGCCAAGTGTAACCAATGAAAGGGACTGCAGTGTAGTGGCTCAAGTAATAAATATCGAATCCACGGGTCTCTAGAGTTACTATTACTCAGCTTCAGTTCATTATCTAGCAAACCAGATTAACATAGAACAACTAAAACTACTCTAGCAAACTACAGTTAAAGTTAATTTAATTACAGGCTGGGAACTCACTTAGGTATGATTCCCCCTAGCCACTAGCCAGATTAATGATTGATGATCTCTAACCTGCTTCACTTTCATTCACAATGCGGAGAATCCTTGACTAGACCTTGAGTCTCGACTAAAGGAACAAGGCCCTCTTGAGTCAATTGCCTAGAGGGACGTATCCTTCTCTAGAAAAACCGATCAAGACGTTCTGAACTAGACTCCCTCTATCGAAAGAGGTTCTCAATCGAAACAAAGCATTGAATCAACCCTCGACTAAAGCAATCGATCCAATACTATCAATCTATGGTGCTCTATTAACCTAATCAGGTATTCGCTCTCATAGGATCAAAGCAGAATCAATAATCTCGACTAAAGCAGAATTGAATCATGAAAACGTGCATAGATTGAATATGAACTCAAGATTATCAAGTAGGAGTACTCATACAATCATCCAATCAAACAAACATAGCTAGGGTTCCTCAAAACCTAAGTGAAGGAAGTTACTCCATAGAGAAGAGAGAGACTGCAGTAAGAATCTTCAATTGATCAGTCTTCAAGTCCGGGCTTGTTCCTCGAGCTTCCAAAGCGAAGAAATCCTCCAATTCCACTCCAAGAATGCCCTCAAATCGCCCTCTCTCTCTCTCTCTCTCTCTCTCTCTCTCTCTCTCTCTCTTTGGTTCGTCCCTTGGGTTTTTGGGATCCAAAACCCAGCTCTCTCTTGCAAAAACGCAGAAAACATGCTTTTAACAGCCTGCGTTCGCGATCCCCGGTTAGAATACCCGGTTGGGTATTTTGGGTGGAGACCGGGTATCTTCAAAACGCATCATCGGGGAACAGGGTTAATCCCCGGCCTAGGCAAAGAATACCCGACCGGGGATTTATGATTACTACCCGGGCCCCCTTCTGCTTCTCAAACGCCCGAAACATGAATTCCCCGGTCTGCTCCAATTAATACCCGGCCGGGTATTTCTGCTCATGGCCGGGTATTTTGCTCCTCCAGCACACTTCAACCCAAACGTGCTCCTTTCGACCCGAAACTCGTTTCTTCGCCTCGATGCCAACGCTAAGTCCTGAAATATGACAAACGCACAACCTAGCGTGAAATCGGCTTAAAACACGAGAATCAACATCTCAAACGGCTCAAGAATAGGGGGCCATCTGCAATCAAATTCGACGCCAACGGGGCTTCGCCTCCAACACTGATCTGTTTGTGAAGATGGGTGTCGGAGATTCAAGTAGTAGAGATTGATAATTTTTCCAATCCAATTTGGATTAAATTGTCTGGGCTCCTTGCAGAGGTGTCATTGAAGGAAGACTTGGGTAGGGTTGCCAAATTTTTTATATCAATCTTGCTTCTTCACTAAGAAAATAGATTTTATTTCTTATTTTTATATTTAAACTTTTTTATTTTTTTAACCTTATCATTTATATTAGTTTGATCATTCAACTTTTATTTCTTTTGATTTCAAACAATCTACCATGATTTAGATTGAGTTTCAAATTCAACAAATGTTTCAGATAAACAGATTTTCAGGTTTTGTTTCTTAAAATATAGTAGTTTCTTTTCTTTTAAAATGTATTTTCTATGGGAGGATTGAACTTATCACTTTACCAAAAAAACAATAATGAGAGGAGCTCTCTACTCTCTCCTAGAGAGTTCACGATTGATTGCTCTTCCCATTCTTCTAGAGCTTTGCCGATCGGCCGGACGCCTCCATTTCTTCTTCCTTGTAACAGTGATCGACGTTAACTTGAAGAATCAGGGGACGTTGTAGTTCCAAACAAATGGTGGTCTGGGTTATACCCTCAGAAACATGAAGTACTCGGCCGCTAATCTCATGAGGACACCGATAAACCCTCTCAAGTTCCTGAGACGAAATGGTTATCGAGACCCAATCCGCGTTATATGCCCAAAACCAAAAATGGGGTCTGTAAAAAAAAGCTAGGGTTTCTCCTAGCCGATGGCAACGCACCGGACTGTGGTAAATCCAAACGTGTACGAATATAAAAAATGGAGGCGTGGTGTTTCAAGCTGCCTTCGTCGAGTGAAACGGGTTGTGATAAATGGGATGAACCCCAACCTCCTCCCATGATCACTGCTATTCATGAATGGGAAGTGAGTGTACAAGTCTTCCTTACTTGGCCAAATCTTATATCCCAAGATGGGTTGAGTTTTAACAGTTCAGTTATGGGGGAAGCCGCCGGAAAAGCTTGCCTAGCCCGGAAAAATGGGGTGCCGTTGCGTTTTCCGAATATGGAACGTTTTATGTTTCGGGTATAGGACAGTAAAATCAATCTCTAGGATACCCTAATCCTGGATTTTGTGGCCGGTTTAGGGGATTTTCTATACATCTATATCCTTAAACAAGGGGTTGGGGGATTAAGGAATCTAAGAGTCCTTTTTTCTAAACAATGTCAAAGAATCCTACTCCAATTGGGTCGTCTTATGTCCAAGGAAGTCATGGCTATGCCTTTTATTTAATACAGTGCCCCAACCTGCCTACTCTCCTATCGCATAAACGAAGAGAGTTGCAGTCGACCGTGGAAAGAAGCACATCCCCTCTTAGGCTACGACATCACCCTGGTACGTGGAGGATTAATGGTTTCGACATAACTCTCCCGATCTGGATCGATGCTACCCTTCTTGGCATCTTTTCTTACTCAATCTCTTGCTTCCCGTGGTCGCCCGTAGAGAATTTGAGTTGTATGATTGTTGTAGGTGATCCTCATATGCTGTCTTTTTTGCGGGACACCACAATGACGCATGTCACAAAGGATCAAGTTGTGCAAATCTCCTTGGAGGAGATCCAATCGGACAAGGTTCGCAAATCCATGATGCTGCTGGGTCGCCTCTTCACCGACAATCGAGTTACTACTACAGAACTACGTGAGTCGGTGAACAACCCTTGGCAAGGACAGGGAAGAATAAAGGTGCGGATGGCAGCTCACGGATTGTTTGAGTTCGTGCTCCCTAATGAGGCTGGCAAAACTTGGGTGCTCCAACACACGCATTGGGTGAATAGAGATAAAATTCTTCACCTACGAGCATGGACCCCAGTTGTCACTAAGCGTTCGTTTGACGAGCTCGCGATAGCTCCATTCTGAGTCCAAACGTGGGACGTACAAGAAGATTGTTGTACCCAGCAATTTGGATGGAAAGTGGCGAATGCTACCCTCGGCCGAGTTTTGGAGGCAGGTGCGTTTTCTTGTAATGACACGAATCGCTACCTCGTTAAGGTTAAGGCTCATATTGACTTTCCAAACCATTGCAGTCTCAAATCACGATTGCCAATGATGAGACTGACTACTTCTAGATTAGCTTGGAATATGAGCACCTACCAAGCTTCTGTTTCAATTGTGGAAGGGCAGGCCATTCTTTTTTTCTTCCGTGCCTGTATTTTCGATCCCCCATCTAGAAAGGAGAGGTTTGGTCCTCACATGAGCCGGAGGCCGATTTTGAGGCTGAACTGCTGGTGCTTAACTTGGATGATGTCCAGTCTGATAACCAGGAGCTAGAGGATTCTAAAGTGACACTATCTACAGAGGATAACAATCTTTATGAGTTAAAAAGATGTGTTCCCATAAAAACAAAAACATGGGACGTCAGGCTAAGTCAGGGAGGGTGAGCCAAGTGGTTAAGGCTTTCGAAACCAGGCTAGTTATGGATGACTCCGGTTTGGGTAAAGGATTCCGCAAGCCTACGTACCCCTCGTTGAAGAAGAGGCTAGAGATGGTGAAATCTAAGAATGAGGCGGTGCTGCATGATCTCAATGAATATGAAACTAATTTTTTTATCCTGGTGTTGGGGGTAAAAAGACGTGCTCTTGATGAAATTGATGGTGAAGTTGCCGAGACCCCCACTGCAGAAAAACGATTTGTGGGAGAGAATGATGGTACTGATAAGGTGGAGGAAGCCAGCCTTGAATGGCCCCACCCGGATAAATGAGGCTGATGGCTTGGAATGTGAGGGGAATTGGACCATCCCTCACATTCCAAACTGTAGTAGGTTTAATTCGCTCGAATAAATCGGACCTTGTCTTCCTATCGGAAACAGGATTGAGCCAGACAGTAGTTTCCCGTCGGATTCGGGGTTTGGGGTTTGGGATTTCTAATTTTTTTTGTTGATGTTATTAATGCATCGAGTGGGTTAATTGTAGGGGTGGGCAACCAGTTCGGTAAACCCGAACCGAATCAAACCAAACTGAAACCGAATTAATTCGACCAACAAATCAAATCTAGTTTTCTGAAAGATGTGATGCCAAGCTTTTTGGAAAGCTATGTCCACTTAATTTTAATAAATGTATACGTTGCATGGCAATATTGGAACTTGGCTGTTAGCCTAAAAACAATGCACGTTTTCATTGTTCAAGTTTAGTGGCAAGAAACTCATGTTTATCCTTGCGGTTTGGAAATTGGGATAAAGAAACACATTGTTTGGCTAAATAATATTTCATGGACGGTCATGAACTTTCATGGCAACGTTTCATTGAAATGAAATTATGGGTTTGGCCAAAACCTTGGCATTCACGGTTTTCTCCCAACCGCCACAAAATTGAAAGTTTGCAGCTTTTCAATGTTAACCCTTCGTATCCTATAAATATATGTGGTGGGAATGTGGAAAAAACACACCAAAAAATTGATTCTTCTTCCTACTAAACTTCTAAGTATGCTTTAGGTACTTAAGCCTGGAACCTAAAGTGGTGATAGTTTTATCCTACGAAGAAATTTCCTGTAACCCTAGGCTTGTTGAGGGTGGAAATATTCTTTCCGGAAAGTGAACGTTGTTCACGACTCTATCATAATCCTGGTCACCCGGTCTCGGGCTATCGTACGTGTACCCTTGTCCCTAAAAGTCCCAACACTGGTAAGGCAGACATTGTCATAGATTTCTATCAACATCTCTTTACCTTGGGAAATCAAGTGTTGAACTTAGAAGAGCGGGTGGCTAATCTGCCGGTTGCTTTAGCAAGAATATCCGCTCCTATTTGTGATATGCACAGAGGTTTTTGAGGCCCTCCTTCGTCAAGCTATATCCAAGGGGAAATTAGAAGGGGTCAAAGTTGTCCCTAGAGTGCCTTGGATCTCGCATATGTATTTTGCATATGATTCTTATTTACTTCTTCGAGGATCTCTACAGGAATGTGAGAATTTAATTGAGGTTTTAATTGAATATGAAGAGCTCAGTGGGCAAAGGGTCAATTTGGATAAATCGGCTGTTTGCTTTAGCAAGAATATGGCTCTACTTGATAAAGAGTTCCTAGCTCAAGTTCTGAGTGTGGGGGCTGTGGAAGTCTAGGATAAATACCTGGGGCTGCCTACACTCATAGCTCAATCAAAAATGGCAACATTTCAATACTTGGAGGAAAAACTGTTAGATCGTCTTGAGGGATGGAAGCAGCGGACTTTGTCGTGGGCAGCTAAGGAGACTTTGATCAAATTAATTGCTCTCGCTCTGCTACTTCGTGTTATGTCATGTTTCATGCTACTGCTATCGCTCTGTCGTATCCTAAAAAGACATATGGCTAGGTTTTGGTGGAGTGTTCAGGACGGTCAGGGTAGGATATGGTGGATGTCCTGTCAAAATATGTGTCGGAGTAAGCATGAAGGGGGAATGTGTTTTCGCCGTTTTGAACATTTTAATCAGGCTCTCCTGGCAAAGATTGAATGGTGTATCCTTCAAGAGCCCCAATAACTTTTAGCCCAAGTTTATAAAGGGGAATATTTTCCAAATGAAAATTTTCTCAATGTTTCTACTCGTTCTCACTCGTCTTGAGGATGGCAGAGTGTCCTTTATGGCCGAGATTTATTGGCAAGAGGTCTTCATTGGCAGATTGGGAATGGAAAGACCGCTGCTCTGCTCCACTCCAATTGGATTCCTCGTTTACATCCCCATGCTCCTACTTATAACCCTCGGATTCTACCGATCGATGTTGACATTCCGGTAGTAGAAGTTATTTACCACGGGGGTGGCCGATGGTGTGACAAAAAACTCAGTCAGTGGTTTGACGCGGCCACTTGTCGTTCCATCAAAGAAATTCTCTGCCCCATCAGGGGATGGAAGATAGATTAATATGGCATGGTTTGGCCGACGAGGTTTTTACTGTCAAGTTTGCCTACCATTTTGCGGTCCTGTTAATAAGGAGGGTGGTAGATGGAGATCCATGGCTAGTTGGATGGATAGACCCAACTGGATTAAATTGTGCAAGGCTAATATTCCCCCGAAATTTAAAGTGTTTGTTTAGCAAATCTTCAACATAATCCTGCCAACGACGGAAGCCCTAATTGAGAAGGATGTTGAGGTGCTTCCTCGATGTCCGGTTTGTTGAGCTGAATATGAATGATGGAACATTTGTTTCTTGATTGCCCAGTGGCCAGGGCTCTATGGGATTATTCAGGACTTGAATATCTTGGTCAGGGCTTGCCTTGCCATACTTTCCCACTCTTCTTGAAGAAGTTGATGTTACTCATAAATCAACCTTAGCTTTTCATGGTGGTAGCGGCGGTCCTTTGGCGGATCTGAAGATCCCAGAAATGGGCTGTCTTTGAGAGCAAACAATATGGGATCCCTACTCTAAAGGCATCAATTCCACCAACACTATCAGGAGTGGATTAATCTAACTCAGGATCGGGATCACCAATTTTCCACCCAACAACCTCAACCTTTGACTGTTGTACACCCCGATGCGGTGGTCTATATGTGGGATGGGGAAACTAAAGTGGGTCTCATTCTGGGGAGATCCTTGACTCACTTCTACTGTCACTCTAGAAATTGGCCAAGTGTAACCACTTCCTAAAGCGTAGTATAGCGGGTTTGGGTTTAAATGTCAACCCGGGTCCTAGATTTGATGACTACTCGGTGAATTCTTGTTATCTAGCAATGAAACTTTAATGCAAGTCTAAACTAACAAATAAGCAAACCAAGTAAATTGTTGTATTCAGGTTAAGAGAGGTCACCCGGATATGGTTCCCCCTAGACTGCAGTTAAGCCGGATTGTAATTACCAAGTTCAGTTTCTATGATAGTTATACTGCAGAAGGTTCTTAAACAGCCTGAAGTCTCGACTAAAGGTCTTCAGACCCTCTCAATCTGAGTCTCTAGTGGGCGACTAACCTCCACCGGAGTAAACAGATTGAGGCCTTAACAAACAAAACCTCCACTACCGGAGTAAATCCGGTACAGAATAGTGAGTTGGCTCCTCGACTAAAGTCACCAACTCCCTACCTTCAATCAAGGATGCTCTATCAACCTAGGCAGATATTCTCATTCTAGGTTAAAACAGAAACAACAGGAATTTGATCAGGATTCATGCCATTCAATCAATCAAACCTCAATTGGATATAATCAAATCATAGAATCAGTACTTGGGTTCATACAATCAAAGCCTAACATACAAATCTAGGGTTCTCCATACCCAGATGAATGGGAGAACTACTCCATGAAAAAGAAGCAAAAGCAGAATCAGACGCGGAATTCATACTGTGAAGGATGGATTCCTGCTCCTGGATGTTGATCGGCACTTCTCCAAGCTCAAACCGGCCTCCAATGGTGATGAAGATCAAGCTAGGGCACTTGGAGACTCTTGTTCGTCGCTTTCTCTCTCTAGGAATCGCTCTATCTCTCTCCAAACTCGAGTCCCCTTCTCTTTGGCTGAAAATCTGCTTAAAAGGGCATCAGTGGCCAAAGCACGGTCGAGGGCACGGCCGTGTAATGCCTCAGCCCCCCCGTGCTTTGGCTAGGGTTAATTACACGGCCAGTGCATTGGGAGAAACACGGGCGTGTTTGATGATGGACACGGCCGTGCTTTGGTGGCCACGGCCGTGCTTTGTCTAAGCCCTGCCCATGTTTTTAGCCAATGTTTGCCAAACTCGAATTTGCTCTCGGCAGTAAAAGCACGGCCACAGAACACGGCCGTGTTCTGTTTTAGGTGTGCCCGTGTTTTGGCTCCAGCTCGACGAAATGACTTCCGAATGCCCCAAAACTCGTGCTTAGCCTTTCCTTTGACGCCTGGGACCTGAAATATGACAAAATAGCACAACCCGGCGTAAAATAGGCCAAAAATACACGACTATGCCCCTCAAACGGATAAGAACTAGGGGCGCAAATATGTGCAATTACATCGTTATCAATCCTCCTGGCTAAAGGTGTGCAGATTCCTGGGATGGATGATCATATGATTATTGAATTGCTCGTCCTCTGGGGGGCTATTCTCTGGTGTATAAGCCTGGGTTTCACAGAGGTTAGGTTTGAGGGTGATGCTGAGGTGATAATCGGCAAGATTAATCGCGATTATACCCGTGATAACCGGATGGAGGTCATTCTCGAGGAGGTCGTGGACTGTTTGCGACTCACAGCGGGCTTAGTGTACGATTTGTAGGTCGGTGTAGCAATAAGGTAGCCCATTTAGTGACTAGAATAGCCCTTTCTTTGTACCAAACTTCGAGTCATTTCTTTGATTTTCTTGTTTGGCTTAATTCAAGGATGTGACTAACTCTTTTCTTATCAATATATATGATTATTTTTTGTAAAAAAAAAAATAATAAATATATTTTCTATTGTCCCAACACAACCACAGAAAACATAAATAAAAAGTAAACATACCCTTAGCCAAGCCAGGGTTTAGAACAGAGTCCCGATTTATTAGTTGACGTCAAATTCTCAATCAACCAAACAAAACAAATAAATTGTAATACAGACAACCCCTCAAAAACACCAATCTCAAATGCACAACATCGTCACACCAATCACACCATTCTACGAAAAATAAATAGATCTCAAAATGAGGTCCATGTTGCCAAGGTGCTTAGAATCTGGCGATTGCTGCTACAACGAGGAGTACTCCCATGAGCATGAATCGAAGAGAAGTTATGGTGCTGGCGGTGGCGGTGGCATCAGACGTTGTTCCACCAGTAGTTGACGGGACTGTGTTGGACCCAGTAGTTCCATCTCCTGAAGGTGATGCTGTCGGAGTAATCGCCGGTTCAGGTGTGTCACTGCTCGACTCTGTTGGCGCTGGTGATGTTGAACTCTCCGGCGGACTAGCTGTACTTCCCGGCGCATCCGCAGCTGAATTTCAAGAGTTTCTTTAGTACTACGAAGCAAGAATTAGGAAGTGTACCTTTACTTTACACACAAGAATTAGGGAAATGTGTACCTTTACACTGGCTAACGGGTGGAGTCTGGACTTTACAAGCGCCAGGCAGGGCAAGAGCCAGAGTCTGGTTGATGGTCAGAAACGACGGGCCGCCGCCGTTGATCAAAGTGCAGAGGCACTGTGGTGTTACCTTGACGACGCCGCTGAGCTGGGAGCAGCAGGAAGCTGAAGGCGTGGTCGAATTCCCTGTGACGTAGGCAAGGCAAGGTGACAAGGAGGCGATGGTGTTGGTGCATGAAGTAGTGCCGCCTGGAGTTTGGGCCATTGCTGTGGTCAAAACCAGGGCAAACACTAGTAGTAGGCATTTGAGCGACATGGTCAATTTCCCAATTGATAAAAGTTGCAGGGTTGGTGTTAATGGTGTTGGAGGTTTGAGAGTGAAAGGGTTAGTGAGGAACAACTTGAGGTGGAAAAAGAAATGCATATATAGAGAGAGATGACTAGAGAGTGGAAAAGGGTGGATGGAGAAGAGAGGGATTTGGTGGTGGTGTTTGGAATTTGTAGATCACCTACTTTAACTAATATCAGTTGCTTAACGGAATACGTGTTGCTGCTTAGTATTGTTTATTTGATTCTGAATCCAGAGCTAATCTGCGTTTCCTTGGTGCTTTTGGTCATGGGTCAATTCGTAATCATGGAATACTAATTTATGGATGTACCAAATACAAACGCAAAAGCTATACATCTATCAATTCCCTATCTCTAATTATTTTAAAAATCTAACAATTAAACTAATTTCAAACTACCCTTAATTTGTATTGATTTTATGATTATATGGCAGGTGTTGAAAGAGTCTTTCTGCTTTGGGTTACATCAAGAACAAGTTTACAAATCGAATATGCGATAAGTTCCTGAATGATTGTCTAGTAGGTTATATAGAGAGAATTTTTTTTAACACTATATATACCAAGTGCATTCTACAATTATTTCCGAATATGAAAACACATCATGGACTTTTTTAACCTGTACAAGTAAGGCATTTTCATATTTTTGATTTTATTTAATTTATTTTTTTAAAAAATGATACTCTTATGAAAAATTTCTGGTTCCGTCCCTGCATCTGTCTACTTTACGAAATGGAGATCGCTCCACGATGACACTTCCAAGAGTGCGAACTGGAATCTGATTGTCAGTCAATCGTCCAGCATTTGACAGGGAAAGAGGGACCGGGTCTTGAACTTGTGTCGGTCTGTGAAGAGCTAAAGGACGAGGCCCGGGATTTTGCGAAGTTCATATGGAGATACTCCGGCCGAGAAACAAACAAACCGGCCCATACGATGACCAAATTTTTAAGTGGAGATTATCCAAACACTTTCTTTGATTATTTATTAATTATTAATTAAAGGGGTAAATTGTAAGGTTGTTCACTCTGTTTACTAAAAAAATTCATATTTGATTACTAAAAGTTAGGGTTGCAAATGAACCGATCTGGGTCGAGTTTTATTCCAGTTTGAGTTCGGCTGTTTAATAAACAAGTTGTCGAGTCGTGTCGAATTCGAGCTAGTTTGATTAATAAAATTTTGACTCGTACTGGATATATTCATTTTGTATGTCGATACATGTAATAATGCCAAGATGGAAAAAAGTTCAGTTTTAAATATTAACTAGTCTCATGGTATGCTTTGTGGTATCATATTATTTAGTTAATTAATTTTAACTAGGTAAAGTTATGTTATTTCATAGTATCACAACAATCTATGATACATAATTTTTTAAAATTAAATAAGACATATTTGCTCACATAATTTGCGTGTTAAACTTCAGATAGGATGAGATATATAATTTAATAATCCTATTAATTATTAAAAGCAAACTCATATCTATTTGCTCATCGGTTCGTAAACGAGTTGGCTCTCTAGCCACAATGTTGGAGTTGAACATCTCATAAGCTCTAAACTAGTGATCTCACAAGTTGAGCTCAACAAGCCACCGAGTGGAGCTAGCTCGCGAGCCCCGTGAGCTGCAGGCTTAGCTCAAGCTCAACTCTTTAGTAAACGAGTCGAGTTTCGAACGAGTTTTTCCCGAATCGAATATCGAGCCGCTCGTTAGCAGCTCGACTCATTTGCAGCCTTGCCAAAAATATTTAATTTCATTCATGGTCACTAAGATTAGTTAAATGTTTCAAATTTGGTCATTCACTGTCCAATTCTGTTAACTTTTTCTGATGTGGCAGTCAACCGTCAAAGTTGACTGTTAACTAGTATCGTGGCAATTTAAAAAAAAATTAATCATTTACAATTTCCAACACATTTTCACAATAAAACAGAAAAAAGGGTTATTGGTATAATACGCCCCTCTACCTTTTATCAAACATGCTCCTCTGCTTTTGTTTACATCAAACTTGCCACTATACTTTGAAAAAAGATCAAACATGCGCTTTCGTTAAAATTTCCATTAAAAAAAATGATCAACCACGCTTGAAACGAGATTCACACGTCCCGAAATGTACAAATTTGGGGGGGGGGGGTTTCCCCTTCATTTATTTCTCTAGGTCTCGTTAAAGTGAAATTATTTGAGGTATTTGGCTAGACAAAAGAAACAAAACAATTCTGAAGTGAAATATTAGGAATATTTTAGACATTTGTGTCGCCCAAACCAAGGTTCGCCCGTGGTTACAGTTTTTGAATGTAAATTTTAACATAAGGACATGTTTGATTCTTTTTACAAAGTATAGGGGCGATGTAAAAAAATAGAGACATGTTTGATAAAACTGCATATTAGAGGGGCATATTATACCTATAAAAAATTATTATAATTACCAAATTGAAATTTAATCCTTCCAGGAGAAATAATCCCAGAACCCACTCGCCCCTCCCAGAACTACCATCTCGTGGTGATGCTCAATCAAACGGATTTCACCCTAAGAAGTTTATAGAGCTGCTAGGGTTAGTAGTCGATTGAAGAAGTAGAGAGAGATCTAAGAAAGGCGATGAATTGGAGCTAGAGTCGTAGAGTGGAAATCTGATCCACGTGCTTGGTTATACAATTGGTAAAGTTCTACAGTAAAAATGAAAATAATGGCAATTTAAAATAGAGTAAACGTAGGCCTACACATGGCACTTCTACATTGGTAGTAAAGACAAATAAACAGCTAGCACAAAACTCTCTCGTTTTATTATTTGTTTCTCCTTCACTTCAAAGACTTGCAGTCTCCTCTATTTCATCAGCACTGTTTAATTAAGCCTTCATTTTTTCATGGTGCTGGCTGCTAGAGTGTTGCTCTGACACTTCCCACAAGTTGATGAGTACATGTCTGTAACTCCCAACTTGCAAAGCAAATAAACAAGGCTGTAACGAGTCACTTCTTTGGTGAACAAATCAGTTAACTGATCATACCATACTTCAGTCTTTCCCTGATAATGTGGCAATCAATCTCTATATGTTTGGTCCTCTCATGGAAGACTGGGTTTTTAGTAATGTGAATGGCTGACTTGTTGTCATAGAAAACCTCAATTGGAAGGGGAACATTAACTCCCATTTCAAAAAGAAGACTTCTAATCCACTACAATTCAGACACCAGCTGAGCCAATGCTCAATATTCTGCTTCAGAGGAGGATCTGGAAACTCTAGTTTGATTTTTTGATTTCCATGTTAACAAGCATTCACCAATCATAGTACAGTATCCAGTTACTGACCTCCTTGTATTTGGACAACTTGCCTAGTCTGAATTTGAAAATCCTTGTAGCTCTAACTTGGTTCCAGCTTTAAACAACAAGCCTTGACCTGGTGCATGCTTCAAGTATCTCAGCACTCTGCATGCAGCTTGAAGATGTTCTATGTAGGGACCCTTTCGAAATTGATAGAGTTGTTGAACTGGATAAGTCAAATCTAGCCTTATTATTGTCAGATAATGAAGTTTGCCTATGAGCCTCTTGTATACTTCTGGATTAGGCAAAGGCTCACCTTGCTTGGCTAACAACTTTAACCTTATAATCAACTAGTGAGAGACATTCTTTGACTTCCATGTACCCCACCTCATCCAACAGATCCATAAAATACTTTCTTTGATTAACAAAAATCCCTCTGTGATCTCTATAAAATTCTAAACCCAGGAAGAACTTCAACTGACCTAGGTCCTTAACTTTGAACTCTCTTCCCCTATAGAGTTTTACTTGTTCAACATCTCCTAAAGAACTTCCTGCAATCAAGATATCATCCACATACACCAATACAAAAAGCATCTTCCCTTGAACGCTTTTAATAAACATGGAATAATCTGCAGCAGCTTGTGAGAAACCAGTTTTCAATAGAGAAGCAGTTAGCTTGGCCAACCACTGCCTGCTAGTCTGCTTTAACCCATACATGAATTTCTTTAACTTGCACACCATCCTCTTATCATGTACTGGTATCCCAGGAGGCACATTCATATAGACATCTTCATTTAAGTCACCATGTAAAAAGGTATTGGACATATCCAAATGATGTATGTGCCAATCCTTAGAAGCAACTACTGCAAGTAGCGCTTTTACTGAGTTAATCTTAGAAACTGGTGAAAAAGTATCTAAAAAATTGATACCATATATATGGGTGAATCCTTTTGCCACAACACATGCCTTATGCCTCTCAATAGTCCCATTTGATCTGTGATTAATCTTGAATACCCATTTGGATCCATTTGGTTTAACACCTGTTGGTGGTATTACCAGATCCCAGGTTTGATTGGCTTCAAGTGCTTCTAACTCAGCAGTAATAGCATTTCTCCAACACAGCTCCTTACATGCTTCCTCGTAACTTTTTGTATCAACAGAGTTCATAACACTTACGACATATGTCTTGTGGGTTTGTGGTAACTGATCAAAAGACAAAACATGCTGCATAGAATACTTACTGACAGCTCCAGAAAATATAGTCTTTTTGCCAAAAAATAGTTTGTTTAGTTCTATAAGATTTCCTTATCTCTGGGGCCTGGGCTTCCTCAATCTCTTCTTGAACATACAACTCAGGTTCATCCTCCCCATCAGAATGCACACCAGACATATCAAATAACTCAATCTCAGGACTAGAAGAGGACTGGGGAATGTCAAGAGATGGAGATGGAATATGAAGGGGAGAATTCCGAGAAGAAGTAGAAGGTAAAGAAGAGAGAGGGATCGGGAGGTAGTGGTGTACTGATAGGAAATATAGGATCAAACACAGTAACAAGGCTAGAAGAAGAGGAGGAGCAATAAGGTTTTTTATAGGGTAAAATGTGTCCATAGAAGACCACATTGCGAGAAACGAAGAATTGGTGGGAATTCAAATTAAATAATTTGTATCCTTTGGTGCTAGGTGGATAGCCAAGGAAGATGCACTACATAACACGTGGATCAAACTTAGTTCTATCTTGGAGTAGAGTAGAGGCATAACAAAGACAACCAAATACTCCAAGAGGACTAAGTGAAGGAGGTTTGTGGTAAAGAAGTTCAAAAGGAGAGACATTGTCTGTGATTGGGGATGGGATTCTGTTGATTAAGTATAATGCATGAGATATGCAACCACTGCATATGGAAAGAGGTAAGTTGGATTGAAATTGAATGGCCCTGGCTACATTGAGGATATGTTGGTGCTTCCCTCAACTCGTGCATTATGTTCAGCGGTTTCTACATAGTGCTCAATGCCATGTTCAACATAGAAGTTTAACATATGGAATTCAATGCCTTGGTCACTTCTAATTGCCTTAACTGTAGTGTTAAATTGTTTATGTACCATGACACAGAAATGATGTAAGAGTTCACTAGCTTTAGATTTATGTTATCAGATAAGCCCAAACACTTCGAGTTCAATCATTAACCAAGGTAAGAAAATATAAAAATCCATCATGAGATTTAATAGCAAGAGGTCTTCAAATATCCACATGGATTAAATCAAAGACTGAGTCTGCCCTAGTTTCACTAATGAGCAAAGAAAGCTTTTTCTGTTTGGACAAATAACAAGTGGAACAGTGTATGACATGACTCTTATTACAACCAAGTATTTGCTTCTCTCCAGCTTGACATAGGTGGCCTACTCTCTAATGCCAAAGCTTAAAGGAATGAGGCTAGAATTGTAGTTGGATGGTAGTTGGGGGAGAGAAGGAAAGCTTGTTTTAGGAAGGAGTTCATACATTCTCTAGTTTGTCTTGCTAAACCAATCTGTGTCTTTGTTAAGAGGTCCCGAATAAGACAAGAGTCACTCAAAGTGCAAAGAAATGGAAGGTCACTTGTAAGTTTACTAACCGAGATTAGGTTGAAAGTGAAAGAGGGGACGAGCAAGACACTGTGTAGTATGACGCCTGAAAGAGTTTTACTGATCCAATATGACTAACTAGAACCTTTTAGGCATTTGGAAAATAGACATATTGATCTAGCACTGGAGTAGCTTTAAGAAAGAAAGATTGAATGCATGCTATATGATTAAATTCACCAGCATCCAATATCCATTTCTATGCTAAGGGTAGAAGACCTTGTTCTAGGTGAGATGTAAGGGCATATTTACCATAGAATTTAGACAGTGAGGTAGGTGTTGTGAGACTGAGTAAGCTTCATGCGTGATTGATGGTGAAATAGGTGGAGAAGGACTCATGATGTCAGATTGCTGAAGAAGGAACTTGAGCTTGACAAGCTCATCATCAATAAAATTGAGAGAACTGGAGGACTCAGACTTCTCCAAGGAGAGACCACTGGTTGAAGAATTAGAGTCACTACTCTATGAAGGTGATTGTGACATAAAACCATCAAAGGCTTCACCTCCTTCATTCATTCTAGCCTTCTGGTTCTTCAGTCTATAGCA